TTCTTAGGCTCTATGCATGAGATAAATGCAACATAATTACATATATTTCTAAGAGAAGATCGAGTTGTTACCTCTTTGGATGAATCACCTATAATTTCACCATCCTTGACATAGTTGTATTCTCTTGGGTAAGAGATTTCCCTTTCTTCAATGGTTGGATTCTCAAGAACATCTTGAGTTTCCTCAATTTTAATTTATTCCTTTGATAATGGTTTTCCAACGTCATGTCCAACATCATGTGTATTTACAATACCTATGTCATCATCAACACAAGAATCCTTCCTCGGAAGGGGATTATCATCGAAAACATGTATAGACTCTTCTACCACTAAAGTTCTTTTATTAAATACTCGATAAGCTTTAGAATTTAAGGAATAACCCAGAAAAATTCCTTCATCACTTTTAGCATCAAATTTGCCAAGATTGTCTTTATCGTTGTTTAAAACAAAACATTTACATCCAAATGGATGAAAATAGCTACTGTTAAGCTTTTTATTTTTGAAAAGTTCATATGAAGTTTTCTTCAAAATAGGCCTAATCATTACATGATTTACAATATAACAAGCGGTATTTGTGGTTTTCGCCCAAAAATATTTTGGCAAATTGTTTTCAAAAAGCATAGTTCTAGCCATTTCTTTTAAAGTTTGATTTTTCCTCTCAACAACCCCATTTTGTTGAGGGGTTCTAGGTGCTGAAATATTATTGCTAATTCCATTAGAATTACAAAACTCAGTAAATCAAAGATTTTCAAATTCAGTACCATGATCACTCCTAACACTAGAAATGGAGTAACTTTTTTCGTTTTGGATTACTTTTGAAAACGTTATGAATTTTTCTAATGCTTCATCTTTAGTACTTAAGAATAGAACCCAAGTATATCTAGAATAGTCATATACTAATACAAAAGAATATTGTTTTCCACCCAAGTTAACAGTCCTAATTGGCCCAAAAAGATCTATATGGATCAATTGTAATATTCTACTAGTTGCTACATCATTAATGGACTTAAAGAAGCTCTTTGATGTTTTCTTTTAGCACAAACATCACAGATTTTATCTTTATCAAATTTTAACTTTGGCAACCCTCTTACTAAATCTCCTTGAATTAGTCTTTGTAAAACACTCAGGCTAGTATGTCCTAGTCTCCTATGCCATAACCAACTATCATGTTCATCCTTAGCAATTAGGCATAAATTAGTCATATTTATAGAATCTAAATGCACCATGTAAATGTTTTATATTCTATGACCAATGAGCATAATCTTGTTAGATGCAATGTCAATAACTTTACAACCGTTAGATTCAAACAAGACATTGTATCCCTTATCACATAATTGACTAATACTTAGAAGATTATGCTTCAACCCATTAACATATAACACGTTTTTAATTTTTATGGAAGAGGTATTACCTATAGTACCTATACCTTCAATGTGACCTTTTGAATTATCACCAAAAGTCACCTCTCCTCCATGTTTTTCCTTTAGCTCTATGAACTGGCTCTTGTCTCTGGTTATATGTCTTGAGCATCCACTATCAAGGTACCACGAGTTTGAACTTGTTTCTCGTTCCTTGTAGCAATTCTCCTTTCCCTACAAACATAGATTAATTTTTGATTTTTGGTACCCAAATTATTTTGGGTCCATATTCATTAGTACTTAAAATCCTAGTCCCCTTGGGTATCCATTTGTGTAGGATATCTTTATCTTTAGTAGTAACGAGTCCTTTAGGAACCTATATACTTCTAACGATTTTTCCATTTGAGGTTCTTTTGGGACCTCTATGATTGTAGTTTTTAAAACTTTTTCTAACAAAGATAGATTTTTAACTTTCTCCATTTTTAAAATGTTTTGTTCCAACTTTATCAAAAGAAGCTTTAAGATCATCAATTTCTTTTTGATGATCGTCATTAACTCTTGAAAGTAAGTTATGCAAATCAGTGCATTCTTTTCAAACTCATCTAGTTTGATTTGCAAATTTTTAATCTTACTCTCAAGATCAAAGTTGGTCTTAGATATGAGATTATTTTCTTTTTTCAATTTTGAAATATCATTCTTGTATTTCAAAAATAATTTCTCATAATCCGAAGCCAACCCAGTATATTACTCTAACAACTCATCAAAAGAATAATATTTAAAATTAAATGAGCTAGAGGTTACCTGAGAATCCTCCTCGAAAGCCATCAAGCACAAGTTTGCTACTTCTTGCTCCTCTTCATCGGAAGCTTCATCATCGCTCCATATAGTCACGTGTGCCTTATACTTCTTCTTGGATTGACCCTTTTTCTTTAATTGTGGGCAATCGTATTTGACATGCCCTAGCTTTTTGCATTCGTAGTAAATGATCTGGTCTTTCTCCTTTGGTTCATTCTTCAAGCCTTCATTTCATTTGAATTTTCTTTCTCTGTTGTGCTTCATTAGTTTTCTGAATCGTTTGGAAAATAATGTCATTTCCTCGTCATCGTCATCTTCATCAGAATCACTCTTATCTTTTGTAGATTTTAGAGCAACTCCAACGTTCTTCTTCTTCACCGTCTTCTTCTTTGTCTCATTATTCTTCTCGAGGTCTACCTCATCTTGAATCATCATTTCATGCGTGAGGCGAGAATTGATGAGTTCATCGAGAGTTAGAGACTTTAGGTTTTTAGCTTCGATGATCGTCGTCTTCTTTGATTGCCAAGCTTTAGGAAGAGAATAAATTAACTTCCTCACAAGCTTCTCGTTTGGAATGATCTCTCCATATGATTTGAGACCATTGACAATCACGAAAAATCTATCCGTCATAGCTTTGATGTCTTCATCTGGTTTCATCCTGAAATTTTCATAGCTATGAGTTAGAAGACTAATTTTATATTCTTTTACCTCATTTGTGCCTTCATGAGTGACTTGTAGTTTATCCTATATCTCCTTGGTGGTTGTATAAGATGAAACTCTCCCGTATTCATCTGGTCCAAGAGCACAAAATAAAATATGGATAGCCTTTGAGTTGAGATGGAACATCTTCGCCTCTTCTTTACTCCACAAGTTTGAACGAGTGGATGGTATGATGTATCCGTTTTCCACGATTTTCCATGCTCCTATGTCACTTTATTGAATGAAGTACCTCATTCTATTCTTCCAATAAGCATAATTAGCTCCATTGAAGAAAGGAAGCTTGTTGACGGGCTGAGAATCAAGAACGAAGTCGAAGTTTGAAGTGGAGGCCATTGATGACTTGAATATCGATGTAACTCTTCCCGAATCGACTAAAGAGGTGGTTAAACCTTCAAATGAGTGTAGTTCTGATACCAATTGTTGAGTTAATCGATCGATGAAATAGCTAAGAGGGGGTGAATTGGCAATAAAAATTTTGGTGGAAGCTTTTGCAGAAAATAAAAATATTTGTACATCGATTTAGAGTGGTTTGACTTTCTCAACCAAAGTCTACGTCCACTACCTTAGCTATCCACACTAAGGATTTTCCAACAAATTCACTAATTTGTTCTTCCTTTTGAGGTAAAAGAGTAACCTTACAACTCCCTCAAGAATTATACCCCAAATTCTTGAGAACACTCTCTCCCAAAGAGAAGATTACAAATTTCACAAACTTACAGAAAAACCTCATTAGGCAAGATGTTTGCACAATTCTAGAACAAAGAAAGAACACACAAGAATGAATACAATTGAGTACAAAAGGTGTACTTGAAAGCAAAATGAATATTGAATAGAAAATAGGCTTGAGTTGCTCAAACTTGATGTTTAAGGCTTTCTCTTTGTTTCACTCACAATTGTTATTGATCAATGGCTGCTCAGCTTGTTTAAATACACCTTCAATTGATTCTGAATGTTGGGGATTATTGGTGAAGTCAATAGAGTAATTATGGTGTGAAAACCATTTAAAAAATCTGTTGGGAGCGTAGGTGTATCGGTACACTCAGTGTAAAATTCAAATATTTGATCGCTGGTTGACCTAGTGTATTGGTACATTTGGGGTGTATCGATACACTAATTACATTCGATGTTTCTCGGAGCCAGGGGTGTATCGGTACATCAACTAGTGTATCGATACATAAAATGCATTTGATGTTGGGGGTGTATCGATACATCAAATAGTGTATCGGTACCTCCCTTTGTAAAAATCATTTTTGGCCCGATTAAGGTTCAAAATACTTTGTAAAAATTGTTTCAAAAATATTTTAAGACCCATACACAATTTTACACTTAGGTAAGGATTAAAATTGTCATTTGAAATCTTGGAGTAATATTTTGATATTCGAATAATTTAATCGAATATATAATTTAAAATTGAATTTAAAATGTTAAAATTCAATAATATTTTATTTGTTATATCGAAACATCAATATGTTTTCAACAATATTGGTTATGTATTAAAATAAAAAAATATTTTTACTATATTAAAATAAATATATTTAATTATATTTTGAAAATTATTAATAAATATATTTTGTAATCAATAATTTTATTAAATTTTATTAAAATATTATAGTAATATTAAATACATAAAATAATATTATTTTAAGTATTTATTTGAAGTGAAAAAGTTTAAAAATGACTTACGAATTGTAAGTTATTTTTTAGAAAATGTAAAAGAAAATTATTTATCAGGATTCGTTATATTTTTCACGAAAATTAAGTACAATAAAACAAACAAACCTAAAAGTCATTCATAGATTTAAATTGAGCTTATTTGGATTCTCAATTTTTTGAGGGCGAAAAACCAAAGTAGTCATCAAAGCTTAAAGGGAGGAAGCCTGAAAAGTTTTGAAACATACATGGAATCACGTTTTCAACAGCTATTCGGATTTATAATCATCCGATAGCAACCCCAACATTTGATGAATCATTAAACCACGAAACGTACATTTCCCCATGCAAATGGCATTGACACTTCAATCCTTGACTCTTACGTTACGTCTCCTCTTCCGCTTCCCCCCCCCCCCCGCCCACACCTTATTAGCTTCTTCCACCCAAAATAAAATCCCTAGAAATAATCATTATAGCCATGAAGAATGTGCTTCCATGGACCACGATCTGGATCGTGATCTCATGGTACGGCTCCAACATTGGAGTCCTCCTTCTGAACAAGTACTTGCTCACCAACTGCGGCTTCAAGTTCCCAATTTTCTTGACCCTGTGCCACATTCTCGCCTGCTCTTTGCTCAGCTACGTAGCCATAGCATGGCTCAAGGTGGTTCCCATGCAGACCATCGGCTCCACCAAACAGTTCGTCAAGATCGCAGGGTTGAGTTTGGTTTTCTGCTTTTCGGTTGTGCTCGGAAACGTCTCGTTACGGTATCTTCCGGTGTCATTTAATCAGGCCGTCGGCGCCACGACACCCTTTTTCACGGCGGTTTTCGCCTATTTTATGATGAAGAAGATGGAGACTTGGGTTACATACATGACGCTCATTCCTGTGGTTGCTGGAGTCGTCATTGCTAGTAGGGTAACAATTTCATAACTTTACCAGTGTTTTAGGATAATTGGATTATTTCTGCTAGTGAGGTTAATGTTGAGTTTGGTTGTTTTGCTTTTAGGATTTTTGGATGAACTATTTGGCACATTTATTTTAAATTCTGATTTTTCGACTCAGGTCATTGGAAATTAGGATTATTCTAGGTTTCAGTTATTTATTCGGTCAATTTAAGTTCAAATTATTATTTTTATATCTCGAAGATAGTCTCCAGAAACTGCTAATCCTCTCCCAGTCAAACATTTCCGAATAGACCCTTTCACTCATATGGATAAAACCTTTGACAAATTCACATGATCTACTAGAACGAAATTCAAGAATTTAAGCATTAAATCTTTGACACCCTCAACTAGAATCACTATATATACTCCTTAGCCACGACTAAGGAAGGAATCCCTTCTCGTTTTCCTTCTCCTCGACTCCTATATTTTTCATTATGACATCACCTCTAGAACAGAGAAACACCAATCAACGATCTTTTTCCCACCGATCACGGTTCTTCATTCGAACCAGAAGAGTGAATCGTCAACGACATACAATATAAACTTGTTTTTGTCAATAAAAACAACAATTTTTATGATCAAAATAGACTAGATAGGATTTAATTTAGGATTGCTAATCAAGTTTTCTAGAGATTTGTGAATAGAATTTCACATAATGGTGTACGTGGTGTTGTAGGCAGAACCAAGTTTTCACGTTTTCGGATTCATAGTGTGTGTTTCAGCAACAGCTGCAAGGGCGTCCAAGTCTGTGCTTCAGGCTATTTTGCTGTCATCAGAAGAGTAAGCTGCAACAAAAGTGGATAATGAAATGAGCAGTTTTCAAATTTAACCAAATACTATTCATGCCAGGGAAAAACTGAACTCAATGAATCTGCTCATGTACATGGCACCAATAGCAGTGGCGATATTGCTTCCGGCCACGGTGTTGATGGAGAGGAATGTGATAGGCGTAACAGTGGGACTTGCAAGGAAAGACATGAGAATAGTGTATTACCTGCTTTTCAATTCATCGCTTGCATATTTGGTGAATTTGACCAACTTTTTGGTCACTAAACACACAAGTGCATTGACTCTCCAGGTACGGATTATACAACACAGGAATGCATGCAGAATTTTATGTTTAGGATTTTATTCCGAGCTCGGTTGAAAATGTGGTTGCAGGTTCTGGGGAATGCAAAGGGTGCGGTGGCTGTGGTGGTGTCGATTATCATATTCAAGAACCCTGTTTCAGTTGTGGGAATGATGGGCTACTCCTTGACAGTCGTTGGGGTCTTCCTTTACAGTGAATCCAAGAAGGCAAAATAAATGATTTATGGGGACATCCTAAGAAACTCATTTCTATTGATTTGCTACGCTCGGAGTTGGCTCACAAATTTAAATCTCTCTCTAACAGTACTTCTAATCCCACTACTACTATGAGACATCCATCAGAGTTAAAGTTATTACATCCTCTACTTTTATAATCTTGTTACTTTATTTAAAAAAAAAAAAGAGTTGAATATTTTAACTCCACTTATTCCATTCATAATTTAATAAATTTGGTTTGAAAAAAATTCAAATTTCAAAATAAGACTCAAATAATTCGACTCGAATCAAAAAAATTAAATTTTTTTGATTCAATCCGACACAAAAATATTCAACTTGACTTGATTCGTAATTTTATAAGTTCGATTGGACTTGAAAACAATTCAAATAAAATTTAAGTTATAAAATTAGAGTCGAATAATTCAAATATTTTAGTAATTAATAGATTGAGTTTTAAGTTCGAATAGAGTACATGAGCTCTTTGTACGATGAATGTATATCACATATGAGAAAATATGAAAAAATGTGTATGTGTGTGTATCATAGCAGATGATTATAGACAATCATTTAAATTGGAATCAATTAGTGTCATTACATTATAAATATTTACAATTAAATTTGAACATAAACTCGAATAACTTGACTCAAATTCATAAATTCAACTAAAAAAATTTCAAATAAAATTTGAGTTTTAAAATATGAAAATAAATGTGTTTATATCATAGCATATGAACTCTTTTATTGTTACCATTAAAAAATCATGCGAATTGGAAATATTAAAAACATTATAAAAGTGGAATAATTAGATTTGGCATTATAAAAGTGGCATAATTTGATTATGCCAAAGAAGTAAAGAGATTAATTTTAAATTTCAGCATAGGAAAAGGTCTAAAACCATAATTAAACCTTATTACCATTATATGTAAATTTATGTGTATAGCCTATATGATGAAGGGGCATGAAACCAACCAATTGCCTCCCAAAAGAAACTAAAGATAACCATGGCCTAAACCATGAAGCAGAGATCCAAAAACTATCAGAAAAATTAGGACACATCTCGGAAGAAAAGTTCCTTTTACAATGTTAAATTTCGACTTGAAACTGTGACTGTATTGAATGTAAATACTAGGCAATGCAACAACCTCGAGCCAAAGATGTTGGTTCAAACCATCTAAAATCTGACATAATCATTGCAACTTGCCCAATATATATATTAAAAAGAATATGTCTTCTCATGTTTATCCTTGATTTCAGCTTTCAGTTTTAGGGGTACTGACCTCAGCACTTGCTGTGGCTGGAGAAGAATTCATCAAACTGGCGGCGATCGCAACCCTCAAGTCTTCATCTTCCATATCTGAAAGCAGTTGCAGATCAGTCTCAGTCAATGCAGGTTGTTGACTCATAGTGTTTCTTTGAGAAGGAGCTTGTGTTAAGTTGCACGATTTGGTTATGCTCTCAGCATCCTCTGGGGACAGCCACTGCCCGTACCCGTTAGAAGCTTCAGAGGAAGAAATAGGGAACTCTTTAGGGAAGTTTCCCCTCACCAGGAAAATGCTCCACCCTGATCCTTTCAAAGAGTCCAGATAGGCTGAGAGATAGAACTTCGAGAAGTTCAGCGGCGCAGCATTAAGACTGTCGAAATTGTACCACTCTCCATTGACTTTCCGGATGCAAAACCAATGGTCGTGCAGATGACAAATGAAAGCATTTTCCAGCTCGGGGTCGATCTGGGCAGCCTCAGCAACTGGGCAGTCAAGGGGAATAACTTGCAAATCCCAGACTTCTAAAGCCTTTTGCAAAACCTATGGAAAAAGTTTCCAGAGTAGATATCATCAGACGATTCCATAGATATCATCAGACATGTACATTTACTAGTTTGAACAACCAACAGGAAACAAAATGATTCCATAGATATCATGGTCACTCTTCATATAAGATTATTGAATATATAATCATGCTTGGGCACGCACGAAAGGCCCCTGAATCATCTTGATTTGTAAAGCAAAATACGAAGCAAAACAATGCCAATGACTAACACCCTAACGTAAGCAATGTTCCCACCTAACTTTCCAGGCCTCCCTATTAGGAAAGAAGTTAATAGCATTTTTAATTAACCCTAGCTTAATATATTCTCGAGATATCTATAAATGGAATCATAAGTCTCAACACTTGATATATTTACATATCGGATGCATATTTAAGGATTGTGGAGATGAGTTTGACTATATCAATTATATTCTTTTCCTTTAGCAATCGCATATATACATGACAAAGCATTTATATGTAGAAACCAACTGTAGATTTCAATAACAACCTAAGATTGACCATACCACAGAAGGAATTATCATTTTTTTTTATAAAACCCCAGCTGAAATTCCACAAATACATAAAACGAGTTGGAGAAGATGATAATAATACTGGGGTACTCTCCGTCAAAAACATCCAGATTAAGTTAGATTCTACAAAATCAAGTTCATAAAAGTATAGGTAATTGTTCAGAAGGAATTATCATAAAGAAATTTCAAGATGAAAACCTTATCCAGAGGCAGAATTAAACCATGGCCGGAGGGACTTACTCCCCCAAACGATTTCGAAAATTTTACTAAGGCCTTAACCACGACAAGTCACAATCATTCAAACTTCAACTAATATTCTAAATATAAGTTTCCTCACCTAAATCTCCAACCAATAGTGTTGAAAAATCATTTTTTTTTACTTCTGTTGCCATTATGTCCTTGTACCGGTTTCTTATATTTACGTTTCCAAATTCAAAACTTTAATTGGCGGTTGATATTGGTGGATAAATTGTTTTACATTTTATTATTATTTTTTCTTGTCCCTAAACATGTATAATAAGTTTTAATGAATTCCTTACTCTTTTTTATAGTTTTAATTATCTCAAGTTGGTGTTTCATTCTTTTTATAAAATGATTATTTGCTAATTTATCATTAAAAATGTGCAACAAGTTCAAAAAATTGAATTTCTTACAAACAACATGATCGTAAATATTAAAAGAAAGATTCTTAATTTTTATCATTCTATTTATGATTGATAAGAATTAAGGTTTTATAAGTTATTTTTATTAGTATAATACTGCCTATATGCTTTTATATTGGTAAAATATTAAAACATATCTTAATTAAAACATATATTAATAAGTTAAATAAACAAGTATATAGAAACAAATATATCATGCACAATAAACTAGCAAATATATATAACTTGCTTTAATACATTCCCTTCGTTCCAAGAAACCAAATGTAACAGATATATAGTTCCACCCCCCCCCCCCAAAATTTAATATCATGATCCGCCACTGGCCTTATCCTATATTATTTCGTTATAATTGCACAAACTACCAGCATTTTCATAACAATCGGATTCTAATATGTCAAAAATAATCATGTAAAGATTCTCACGCATTTCACTAGGTAGAAGAAAGGCTTTTTGTTCATATTATACTTCTAAAGATGTTCATTTTTCTCTCTGGATTAGGGTATTCAAGCGTTGGACTTGGATATTGAATATCTAGCCCTGCCCCAGTTTACATACATGCATGCATGCACGCAAACAGCCTTCTCGGGAAATCTATATTTTGCTTTCTCAACTACTAAAACACTACAAAGATAGTACTTTGGAGGGAGGTAGCATATATGGAAAAGCCACAAATGAAAGGCTAATATTTTGGTTAGCAATTTCAGCAATTATAGCTATAATACATTCTATAGAGTGAAATAAATATGCGTATACGTAATATGTCCTGCGTATACATGTAGATTTTCAAGTTTTATAAACAATGGACCACATATATCGTACTCTCAGAGTATGATCTTCTACGGACAGGTTCACAGACATGATATTCACCAAACACCAATGTCGTTAAACAGATCAATGCAATCAACTTAGGCCGCAACAAGTCAATTCCATGTGAAACATAGTATAGTATCATGTAAATTGTAATATGATTCCCAATTTCCCACTGTGGGTGCTTCTTTAGCTAACAGGACTCAAGCAGAAAATCAAGATGAAATTAGCTACTTTAACACGTAAGGAAAAGGTGCAGGCAGTTCGAGTTTAAACCTCTTAGCAAAACAATCATACTTTCGAAGACAATAGAAGTAACTCTTAATATAACAGGCAAACTGCAGTTCGAGTTTAAACCTCTTAGCAAAACAATCATACTTTCGAAGACAATAGAAGTAACTCTTAATATCACAGGCAAACTGAATAAAACATTCAAATTATTCATGTCTTAGTCTAACAATTCAATTGCCATAATCCTAATTACTCAAACTCTGAAAGAACTTTAACGTTGAGGAGGGTAAAGCCCTTTCAAATTCTATTAGTATTCGTTCTTTCCACATTATGAGCAAGTACAAGCTTTAACGTTTTCAATAAGGAACCAATTTTATACACTTAAATCTAGATTTTACCCTTCACTTCCATCAAATCTCGAAAATATGAGCAAAGTAAAGGAAGAAAAAAAGAGAAAAAAAGAAGAACCTGAATGCTAAAATCGCCACCAAGGGAGACATTGTGGGATTCCTCAGAGAGGAAATCACTGGAGACGGCGGCGGAAGCGGTACCTTCGAGCATCATCTGGCGCTCTTTGGAGTCGAGATCGGAAGCTAAAGCAGCTAAATCAAATTCGGAGAAGAAAGGTCCTTGTAACACCGTGTTGACGCAATGAACGGCGCACAAATTCGACTCTTGTACCTCGTGGTACAACATACCGCCATTGCTATCTCCCTCCATCGCCCCAAACCACTGAAGTTAAATTGAATAAATAAATACCTAAAAGAAGACCCTCATTCGTTGTGTATATATATATATACGGCTAAAGCAAATGGAATTCGGAGAAGATAATGGAAAAAAAGTAACAAAGGATATAATAAAGGTGAGTGTAAATATCGATATTGATGTTTGATTAAGTTTTCTTTTTCCTTAAAAGTAATTATTTGATCATTGAGGTTATTTTTTTAAGAAAATGGTCTCATTAAAAATAATGATTTTAAAAGGTCTAGAAGGGGAAAAGAGTGTCCACAAAATATATTAACCATGATCAATGTCATGAGTTACAATAGAGATAATAATTTCGAGATAAATAGAGTAAAAAATAATGCATTCCCTGATCTAAGTGCCAGGAGACTAAATCATGAGCCACTTATTACAAATATGCGGGACAAAAACAAATTTGAAAGATGCTTTGGTTTGCAAAATGGAACGAGCTTCAGCCAGATGAAATCCTAAAGTGAACAAATCTACCACATCATGAGACAGTTTATTAGCCACCATTGTCGAATCAGTCTTAAAAATAACTTGGTGCCAAGGGTTCTCTTGAGCAAACTTTAAATCGGCAATCATAGCATGGATGTAAGCTTTCCCAAAATTTAGGTTAGTGACCAAAATGTAAAATTTGAAAGTCTAGTGGTCAAAGTATAAAATTGGGAAAAATTAGGGACCTAAATGGTAAATAAAGAATTTTTATTCCATAATTTGATAGTTTACTCTTGAGAGTGGGGTTTTATTGAAATCATATTCTTAATCTAGAAATTGTGTTAAAAACTTGAAAGTGTTGAAGTTTAGTAAAAATTCGATAAATCGGATCGAATAGAAATTTCAGAAAAATTTGAAGGATGATAAATTAAGCTTAGAAATATGTTTTCCACATTTTAAAATGATGGAAAATAATATGGAGCATTGGATTTGAGGATTTAATTCCATTTTTAATTTGGACCGTTGGATTTAAATGGTAAGATTGAAATTTTTGGAAAGTTGCTTGGTTAAATTGGAAAAGGGTAAAATATTTTGTCCATCTTTGACTTTAGAAGATGATAAGGGTTATGTGGCTTGGTATTATGGTAAATATCAAGTTTTATTAATGGTAAAATGGACATTTCACATTAAATGATTTTTTAATTCATTTAAGCATAAATTAAGGTCAAATTAACATGAAATTAAGCTTAGAAATTTCATGAAAGTTGACCATTTTTCAGCTACATTGCCGCGAGTCTCAACCAAGGTAAGAGGAATTTTTATTTTCAATTTTTGAGTAATTTCCTTTGGTTTTTGGATTAAGATGTGAAATAGAAAATTGTTCTATTTGAAAACGCTATCATTTGGTACCATTATTGTTTGCTAATTTGATTTGTGTTCATAGATCCCAAATTCTAGAGTTTATGTTCACATTAAGGTTTATGAAATAAATGAAGGATTTTGATGTTATTGAGGTTGTAGAATTATTTCCAAGCATGATTGATGATTAAAAAATCACTTGTACATGATCATATGAACATATGAAGTTTTGGCCTAACCCTAATCTTAGAAGAAAAATGTGTTTTTGATGAAATTAAGTTTGGTTTTTGATTGTAGAGATTTTAAAAGGTTGAATCGAAGTTGATTTCATGCTTGAATCGAATCAAAATCGAGTAAAATCATGAAAACTCTAATCTTAAACATACAAAGTATTCGACCATGACTATAGAGGATGAGAAAAATTATGGAAAAATTATTTAGGGGCTGAAAATGATTTAGGAAGTATTATACAATTCTTATAAAAATTTGTGGACCATTCTGTAATTTTTGAAAGATTAGGGGACCAAATTGGTAATTTTGGAAAAATTGTGGATTGTTGTGTAATTGTTTAATAGTTGATGTATTATGCTGGAAATTAATGTTTGAGTGTTGAAATAGAAGATAGGATGTGAAATTGGATTATTTTGGAAAGCTTGTAAAAGTTGAGGTTTAAATAAAAATATTGAAAGGTTGGGAGCTTAAGTGAAAATGTTATGTGAAGTTGGGATAAAAAGTAACTTGAGTGGTCAATTAGAAGTATTAAGTTAAACATTTATGTTTTGACATGGAAATTGTATCGAGTAAGCATCGGAAAATTTGTTAGAAATTTATTTTGCAAAGTATGCATATGTTAGTAAGATTCTAGCATTTAGTTTGAATTTGTATATGTTTGGTAATGATGTTCATTTAGATATTGAGTGCTTGAAATCAAGATCAAATATTATTAAAGCTAAGGAAAAGCTTAAGGATGGAATAAGAAATTCTAAGGAAGGTTGCAAGCTAAGGACAGAAGGTGAGTGCAAATTTAATTCGTACTTATGTTATCGAACAAACATTGGCTTGCGATGAGCCAGTGACAGAGTTACTATGGTAAGGAGTGACTCCTAAAATGTTATGTGATTTGTGATGCATTCATATATGTTCATTTGGTGAGCTAATAGAATTACTGAATAAGTTGAAAATGTAAATTGGTGAAATCTGCTTAGAATTTATGTTATGGACAAGAAATTTAGAAAATCACCATAAATTATACCAAATGATTAGAGGATGATTTTTATACGTTGGATTATTATATCAATATATTTTTGTTTAGAACAAGTGGAAACTGATTTCAAGGTATATAAAAAAATATATGATTTTTTAACTTAGGATAGGTCTGCTCAAAACAGATTCTGTCGGTTAACTTTGAAAATTCACAATAAATTGTACAAATTCACTACTAGAAAAAAACCCCTTTAATGACGCGCAATGCGCGTCATCTATGGGTGCATATGACACACAAATTCGCATCATTGAAGCCACCGACATAAATATCAGATGTCGCACAATTGTGCGTCATAAATCTATGACGAAAATTTATGACGCTCATTTATGACGTGCATTTATGACGCGCATTGCGCGTCATTGAAGCCCCCGTCATAAATGAAGATGACACATATTTGTGTGTCATAAATTTATGACACGCATGTATGACTTACATTGCGTGTAATTGAAGCCCCCGTCATAAATGAAGATGACACACATTCATGTGTCATGATTGTATTTCGTAAATATATATCATGTTATATATAAGAAATCCATTTGCATACAATATATTCACATTAAGTTATCAAAAATATTGTAATCATATGTCGATACAAGGAACATATTAAAAAAATTAAAGAACAAAAACCTGATTCAACTATTAATCACACAGTAACTTCATAATCCTACTACAGTAAACTTGAACATCTAAAAACTAACAAAAGTAAAATATATTCATTCAAAAGCTGAAGGAATATAATGAATAGTTACAGGACCTTTTACAGCAAAAAGTACCATAGTTTCATCTACATCCCCCTCTTTGTTCTCTTCTTCTATCTTTTCAGAATCAGAAAGCAAACCTCAAGCTTTCTCCAAGCGTTCTTCTAGGGAATCTTCAAGCAACTATGAGAAGTATAAGAAGCTCAAAGTTAAAAAAAATTAGAAATATGTGAACAAGTATGCAAATGCATATTTAAGTGGAGTACAAATAGGATTCAGTATAGAGCTGATGGCAGCAGGAACCCTTTTACTTTCACTAATGGAAGGATAATTATATATGTTAAATCCATATATAATTATACGACCAGTTCAGTAACTCACTCCCCAATGTATTTCTTTCTGGTTTATCTAATTAGCTGCATCCTGGAAGCTTCCAATAAGTGTTACAACCTCTGCATCATCAGAAATGGAACTGGGTTGTCCAGAAGAAATTACAAGGAAACAAAGAAAACTATGTCAAACAACACCTCTTTTGCATACGTAACATGCAGAATATGAACAATGAAAATGGCATCACCTTGAAAGTTAATGTGTTCATTGATGACCCCAAGCATTGCAGTGGATTGCGTTTTATGCAAATATTGCAACAGAAGATCATAGGAATATCGTCGAAGTGATTGACAACAAATTGAACAGTAAATGAGGAAACAAATAGATTATTTTCTTATCTATTAGCAGTTACCAAAGAAACAATTTACGGCTTTTACCTGACATATCTTGATGTTAACATTAGACAAGTACGATGATTAAATATATTGTGTTTTACTAAAATTAAAATTAAGCACTTACATCATATAACAAGTAATCGCAGAACCAGGATTATTACATCTCCTGATTAAGTGAATGGTCTGTTAATGCCCTTATTTTACTCTGCCTAAGAGAACTAGCAAATTCCATCTCCTGATAGAAAAAACATCTAGGTAGCAACAATATATAAGAGAAAAATTATTCAAACCTCCAATATATAACTGTATGCTATTGCACCCATTAAAGCCAAAGTGATACCCTCACAGTTGTCAAGCTTAAGAACCATTAACATTGGTAGTCTTACAGACTTCACAAAAAGAAAATGCATCAAAATATGGCTTAACCAGACTAATTATAACTAAATTAACCATTTGCAAAAACTGACCTCAAGAGATATGTTAGGACAATATGACGAATTCAGAACATGGAGAACAAAACAAGAGCGAGCTATTTCTTGCAATGTTTCATCACTAACACACGAATAATTTGACATGTCTAAAGACTCTAATTGAGGGCAAGAAGTCACTGCGGAACCAATTGTTGCATCTGTAAGTTTGTGGCATGCACTTATATCAAGCAACTGTAAAAGGGGGCAATTAAGGGCTGCTTGTGACATATTACTACGTTTCAAGGACAAATTCTTTAATAGTGGGCACCTGCAAAAGATCAAATGTTAGCATAACGGAAGAACATATTGACATCAAAATATAATTTACAATCAAATCTAGATTTTGCTTCACCTGATGGATATACGCATCACACGGTATTTAGTTACTTTCAGATCACATAACCCAATGTTAAAGCCTCAAGATTTCTACCAATCATAAATTTTTATACACATTAATAAGAGGCTGTGCAAAATTCATTTTATTAGAACATAAATTATGTCAACAAAATATTACCGTAATGAATGGACAACTTTCATAACAAGAAGGTGCATGCTAGGAGTGCCACTCAGGTTCACTTCAGTGGCATTTGGATATCTTTGACAAA